GTTTTAACTACTTATTTATTAATTCAGAAGTCAAACAACAAAAATCAGCGTTATATTTACAAAATTTTTCACAGGACTAGTTTCGATGGTTTTACCGAACCACCATCTTCAGCTGCAAAACCGCAAATGAACAAGATAGGAAATAATGATTAGATAAGATAAGATAACCTGGACAAGAATAAGCAAGTGGCGCCATCTGTTGGCGAAACCAGAACTAAAACATAATTTCTCTAAAAGCCGAAGGCAAATTTGGATTGGAATTAGGATCGTTAACTAGAACAGAAAGATTTTTATGAATGTGAAATGCCTCTAGAAGATCCAGTTCTCCAATGGAAGATGTTTTTTGAATAATTTTAGCAGCAAAAATTGAAAGTGTGATTTTCGGACCAACAATGTTGAGCAACAGAAGACTTCTGTGTTTCCTTTTTTCTAACATATGCCTCATGTTCTTTGACGCGAAATTTTAAGGCTCTCTTAGTTTGGCCAATGTAAATTAAACCACACTGGCAAGGAATCCTATAAATACCCCAGGAATTCATATCCGGAATGGGGTCCTTGAGTATAGAAGTCCGAATTTTATTGATGGGAGAATAAACAACCCGAAAGTTAAATTTCTGCAAAATATGTGCAACTTTATAGCTAATTGATGGAAAGAAGGGAATGACAACAGAATTTTTATAATCTCCTAAAATAAGAGTGTGGCTTTTAGTGTGTTGAGATGAGAATTTTTTAACTGCTTGATTAATAATGTTGGGTGGAAAAGCCCCTGTCAATAGCTATTGCTTTTAAATAATTTAGTTCTTCATCAAGGGCTAGTTTGGAGGAACAAACTTGAAGAGCACGGAAAACATAGGAATAAAATGAAGCTAACTTTTGTTTAGTCGGATGACATGATTTAAAGTGTGGTGGAAGGCAAACCGATGAAGGTTTACGGTAAACTGTAGTACTGAAGTTGGATGTGTTACGTGTGACCAGAATGTCGAGAAACGGAAGAGAATTGCAAGTCTCAAGTTTCGATGGTTTTACCGAACCACCATCTTCAGCTGCAAAACCGCAAATGAACAAGATAGGAAATAATGATTAGATAAGATAAGAAAGCCTGGACAAGAATAAGCAAGTGGCGCCATCTGTTGGCGAAACCAGAACTAAAACATAATTTCTCTAAAAGCCGAAGGCAAATTTGGATTGGAATTAGGATCGTTAAATAAACAGAAAGATTTTTTCCAAAATTCACTGCCCTTGAACAAAAGTCTTGGTCTAGAACGGAGAATGCAGTTAACCGTCATAAAAACACCCTTGCAGTTAAATTCGATAAACTTCTTTTACAGTCTTCCAGTTCAAGTAGTTCAAAAAATCTTCCCATTGTAAACATCAAGCCGATAGTTAATATTTCTAATGTTAGTCTTTCAGAAGAACAAGAGAGAATTCTAAAATATAATTTTAACTTCTCACAAACCTGTAAACCCTCGATTCCAAAGATTTTGGCTCCTATCGAAAAAAGCTTTCAAGTTCAGTAAGTTTCAGATTCACAGAAAGAAATGATTAGGCATCTTATCGCTCATAATGTGAAATTCAATAATAAACCTTTGAAACCAAATCTAACTGCGAGAGAAAGAGCTACAATGCGCGAAATTCATTCTAACCCGGATATTATCATTTCAAAGGCCGACAAAGGTGGCCAGATAGTCGTCATGGATAAGAACACTTACATCGATGGTGTCACTAAACTCTTAAACGAAGGACCATATAATCCGATCCCTAAAGATCCTTCACCTTCGGACTTGTCAAAATAAAAACTGCGATCAAATCTTCGCAAATCATTTCAAGCAACTTAAAACATTCGCTTATCCCATCTGTTGCGAATTGTGCCAGATTATATGCTCTTCCCAAAATTCATAAAAGTGGTATTCCTTTCCGCCCTATTGTATCAAATTTAGGTACTGCCTCGTATCCATTAGCTAAATATTTAGTTTCTAGATTTTCCACTCTATTAGACAATAACATTTACACCATAAAAAATTCAATAGAGTTTGTAAAAAAGGTTAAAAACATTTCTCCTAGTAATTTACTCATGGTTTCTTTTGATGTAAAATCATTATTCACCAATGTCCCAGTGGAGGGTGCATTAAGATGTCTAGAAACCAGACTTCGCGAATTTCATTTCTCTTGCATCGAAATTGATGAGCTAATTTCTCTCACTCAACTCTGTTTGAAACAAACACATTTTGTTTTCCAAAATAAATATTACAAGCAAACTGAGGGATTAGCCATGGGAAGCCCCCTCAGTCCCCCATCCTGGCTGATATCTACATGCATTATTATGAATCAAAATTGTTTGAAACTTTAAACTTCCCGGCATGGTTCCGCTACGTAGACGATACTTTTACCCTGTTTGAAGGTAATAAAGATGATTTAAATAAAGTTCTTTCAACAATGAATTCTATTGATCCTGCTATTCAGTTCACTTTTGAACTTGAGACTTGCAATTCTCTTCCGTTTCTCGACATTCTGGTCACACGTAACACATCCAACTTCAGTACTACAGTTTACCGTAAACCTTCATCGGTTTGCCTTCCACCACACTTTAAATCATGTCATCCGACTAAACAAAAGTTAGCTTCATTTTATTCCTATGTTTTCCGTGCTCTTCAAGTTTGCTCCTCCAAACTAGCCCTTGATGAAGAACTAAATTATTTAAAAGCAATAGCTATTGACAGGGGCTTTTCACCCAACATTATTAATCAAGCAGTTAAAAAATTCTCATCTCAACACACTAAAAGCCACACTCTTATTTTAGGAGATTATAAAAATTCTGTTGTCATTCCCTTCTTTCCATCAATTAGCTATAAAGTTGCACATATTTTGCAGAAATTTAACTTTCGGGTTGTTTATTCTCCCATCAATAAAATTCCGACTTCTATACTCAAGGACCCCATTCCGGATATGAATTCCTGGGGTATTTATAGGATTCCTTGCCAGTGTGGTTTAATTTACATTGGCCAAACTAAGAGAGCCTTAAAATTTCGCGTCAAAGAACATGAGGCATATGTTAGAAAAAAGGAAACACAGAAGTCTTCTGTTGCTCAACATTGTTGGTCCGAAAATCACACTTTCAATTTTTCTGCTGCTAAATATTTATTCAAAAAGCATTGGAGAACTGGAAACATTCAAAAAACATTTCTTCCATAGGAGAACTGGATTTTCTAGAGGCATTTCACATTCATAAAAATCTTTCTGTTCTAGTTAACGATCCTAATTCCAATCCAAATTTGCCTTCGGCTTTTAGAGAAATTATGTTTTAGTTCTGGTTTCGCCAACAGATGGCGCCACTTGCTTATTCTTGTCCAGGCTTTCTTATCTAATCATTATTTCCTATCTTGTTCATTTGCGGTTTTGCAGCTGAAGATGGTGGTTCGGTAAAACCATCGAAACTAGTCCTGTGAAAATTTTGTAAATATAACGCTGATTTTTGTTGTTTGACTTCTGAATTAGTATTTATTCGGCGTGTTATTGTGTCTTAATTACTTATTTATTGTTAGTATATCTCAACTTGTTTTCCCTAAAATATCGTCTTCGCTTACGTAACGAATTTCCCTATGTAGTTAAACGTTTGTTATGATCCAGCGAACGTTTGCTGTCATGGATTCGAAAGCTGAGTTAAGGAATAATATTAAAGTTTTACTGTGATGAATCAATCTGATTTATTTTGGAACAAACTGTGACTGGAGGTGAAACATGATGATTATGATCTTGAGACATATTGTGATAATTATGATTCTGAACATCAATTTCTAATCTTCAGACAAAACGACAAATACTTGCTTGGGTTGAAGGACGTTGACTACGGCCACGGAAACTTCCATATGTCTGCAAGGTTTCATAAATCTAAAGTAAAGAGCTTTATTGAAGAGTTAATCTAAAGTAAAGAGGTTTTTAAACTGAAATGTATAGTTCATCAGGCATTTGTCCTTGAGCGATGCAACGGACACACTTCTGAAGAGAACTTAGCCTGTAGGCCTGAAGAAGCTCAATCCAAAAACTGGCTTCTACTATTCGGTAATGGGCCGTCGAACATTACTATACTCATCAGGTTGTTTCTAGTAAACAAAATTTCCACAGTTCGTAACCAACTAGCTCCCTTATTCACTAGATTTGCTTCTTGCAGACTACGTTTTCAAGCCTGAAATGAAATCTTACCTCAAAGACCACTATTTTAATACCATTTGAAGAGATTTAGAAAACCGTAACCAGAAACTTAAACAGAATTCCAAGATGAGATCTACGAAGGAATCAAGCAGCTGTACCAAATACACAAAAAATTGTATACAGGACAAGGACTGTATATTGGAGGTTAAAAGGTGAAAAGTGTAGGTAACTTCATGGATATTTCTTTGGGTTGTATTATACAGACTAGCTAACGGCCTGGCATGAAACAAAGGACTGTAGTCCTAGAATGAGTTTGATGAGGAAGGGGAAAAATAAAGGCGGTGATGAAAAATGGTGAAGGATGTCGAAGTTTATTCTGAGAAGTTTACTACGAATAATTCTGAAAATTCCATGAGCAGCAAATTCATTTATATATTTTATTAAATATATAAATGAATTTGCTGCAATAAGATAAATAATTTTGACGACTTTTCGAGAATTTAGCAGCGCTCGATCCTTTTCACTATAACAGTAAGCTCTTAAAGGAATGTATTGAGTCTCAGCAGTAGTATGTATAAGACGACAGATTTGTTTTCTTAATTAATGTGAGGCTCATCTAGCTTGTGTCAAGAGCCTGGGATTTCAAGAATTAAATTTTTAAGTATATATTAGGAAATAGTTAAGCTACCATTCAAGCTATTCAATGTATGATAAGACTACTGTTAAAAATCATCAGACCAAGTACCTGAGCAACGCCGATCACGGGAATGTATCATAAAACATGCTACTGATATAATATAATAAAATTATATTTAGAAACTCTTTTTAACATCTTTACTATTATTTCCTTTCAATTCAAATCAAAACATCAATACATAAACTGCATTTAATGTATAGTATTTCTACAAGTTAACTTTCCAAGTTGACTGTCAGATGCCCATCTTCGTAAAGAAAAATTTCTTGAGAGCAGTGGATCTTCTGAAAAGAAACTCTTGCTGTTTTTCTCACTTTTTTCTGTGATATGAGAGGATGTGACAGAAGAAGTCTCAAGTGGCTTCTTTGCAAACGGTTCTGTTAAGTTCTGCAACAGCCATCCTTGAAGAAGGCATTTGGATTGTTTTTTACTTGGTGTAACCTGAAGCAGCTCCTTTATAGCCACTCTCAGTACTTTCCGCCGGTGAAGTAATTCTTCAGCCAATGGAGTAATTGTCGACTGATTTTCAATAAGTGCTCTTTGGCATGTCCAGATCTTCACTACATTTATCAATTCCTTCAACAAAATATCTATTTCCTCAACCATTTTTCTCAACGTAAGATTTTGATTAGATTTTAATTTGTTCCTTTCTATATTCCTTTCTCTCTCTTCTTGAAGCTCCTTGGCAATCCTCTGCTCATGTGTAATTTTTTCTCTGAGAATTTGCAAATCTTGTTGAAGATCTTTCATTTGCGATCTTTTTGTCTTCAAAATGCCTCTTAGTTTGTCAATCTTAGCATTTTCTAAATTCTTCTGAAGAATCTTTCTTTCCTTGCAAGCAATTTGGTGATTAAGATGTCTGATTTGTTGATCTTGGAGTTTCGACTCTCTCTGAAGCTTCACGTTGGATTCTCTCAATTTAGTGTTTTTCAAGTTCCATTTTCTTGATCAAACTTTTCATCTGGATGTTACTATAACCATCTACTGAAGACGAGCTCGAAGACCGGTGTAAAAATCTGTCAGTATCCTTGTTTGTGACACTAACCATTTTTGAATGCAGGTTGTCGGTATCTTTTGTTTTTCATTTTCATTTATTTGCAGCTTACGAACTAAACGAAAAATCCGAAAGTTTTCCTTTCCACTTACATTAATAAGATCCTTTAAATCTAAAACTATGTTTAATATTTTGTTTCCATCCATTACTAGCGCTGTTTGCTCATTCGTTTTGAATATTTTAATCTTTGCACATATATCCGTAATTCATCAGCACTGGAAAAAGAAGGAAAAATAAGATTTTAGTGCGTTAAACAGAGAAAAGCACATGCAAAGTCAGAAACACCAAATCTTTTCATTTAAGTCAATATTTCTTATCCTTTTTTCCTAGAACAGCCTTTCAAGATATTTTCAAGATTGCAAAAGATCTCTAAATAAAAATACATTATTTACAGTTAACAGTATATAGTCCAGTCAACAAAGAGCATGTATTTTAAGCCCATAATTAATGACATTCTTTGGGAATATGTTTAGTTTGTTTAACGCATTGTTACGATGACTACTACTCATTAAAATTGTCAATAGAAAAAATTCTGGCGAAACGAAGAGCGGAGTGGAGGAGAGATTTTATTAAAGTTATGGCTCTTCTGCGACGTTCGTGAAGGAAGAAGACCATGCCACTTGAAAATATGGCAGTTCTTTCCGTCTAGCTGTCAGCCGAAAGTCATCAGGAATTAGATATTTTTAATATTTCATCGGGAATATAATCTTACTACATATTTAATTAAAATAAGATTAATATAGATTAATTTAATTAAACTATTTAGTTAAAATATTTTGACAGAAAATTGGTTTTATAAATTATTTTCACTTCTTAAGCTTTCTAAATACATTTTATTTACCTTTTTGGCATAAACATAATTGAAAATATTGATAAGTGACAAATGAAGTTTTTACAGTACTTTAAACAGTGATCTAAACTTGCTAATGCCATGGAAAATTAGAAAATATTTCTAAAGGTAACAGTGATTACAATCAATATTTTACCTAGCTATTATTTTTCGAGTTTCATAGCAAAAAAATGTTATAATCATTAACTATTAACTTTTATACTCCAAAATATGCAAATGAAAGACTATGAATTAGTTAATAAGTGTCATTAAAATATTTCGTATAAGAAATGTGCTTAAATCTGACACCAAAAAACTTAAGTTCTAACATCTATACTATTAAAATCTGTGCGCATCTGTCTGTTTTTTTGTTTGTTTTGGCATTACTACCTCCGGAACGGCGGAGAGTTGAGTTTCGAAAGAGGTACCCCCCCCCCCCGGGATTCCGAAAATTCATAGGAAGTCATTTATTTCGATCATTATCATCTTCGTACGACTTTAATCAGCCGAGATAGTAATTAAAAACTCTGAAAATACTAATTTTCGCCGTTATTTTACAGAGTGGCATCAGTCTATCATGCTGAAGAAAACTTTATATTTTACATATATGTTACCGGCAAAATATGAAACGCCGGCATTCTATAGAATGCCTAGGCACTCTATAGAATGCCGGCCGTTTTTAGGCAAAGTATGAAATAATTACATACTTTCCCTAGGCATTATATACAATGCCTAGGTATTCTATAGAATGCCGGATTTCAAACTTTGCCGGTAACATATATGCTTATTTTCAGTTTCTGTAATTCAGGATAATGATAGATTATTATGATCATTTTAAAATCAGCAACCATTCTTTGCATGTTGCACAAAAGAACATAGAGTAGCTTCCTCTGCGCATTAAAACCTGTTTTTAATTAAACAGCAAAGCATAAAAATTGTTTTTTCCTTCAAATTCGTTGTTTCCTTGTAATCACAAACATAAACCAAACTAAGTAATAAAAGTAAAACTACACTTAAATATAATAAAAATATCATAAATTAAAACATTAATATTTATAGTGTTTCTTAACATCTAATCATGACGAGTTTCATGGCCTTCTCCCTTCACGAAGCCAAGTCTTTTCCCTAATGAAATCTTGTCACCATGCCTTACTGAATTACTCTGGTTTTTGCGGATTTTCTGGAATAAGAGTTTTCCAAAGCCGCCTTCTGTTGCTTGTCAATGTCGACAAACCATTTCTACTCCTAAAGATTATTTTTTTTTAAAAAGCATGCTGCTTAATGAAGAAAATTTGGATAGGTACAATGTACGGAAACACCATTCAATTAAATGGTAGACTAAATCTAAAATAAAAGTATTGAATAGATTTCAAGTGTTGGAATGATTCATAAATGCAAATTTAAAATTAAAAAAAACTGTGTAATGTAATGCCTTATTTAGTTACATACTAGTTATTTGTTTGTGTTACTGCTTCGTTTCTGGTAGATATCTTCTTCTCGAAATATGAAAACAAATCTTAAAACGCAGGAAGAATTCGAGAAAACATTAAAAGTAAATGGCCAGCATCCGAAAGTTCTCACGCGATCAAATTGCAGTTGTAGACATCATCATTTGTCGATGTACCCACATTTTCAGATTAACCTACATTGATACTTACATATTACCGCAACCACTTTTGCAAGCAGCACCGGAACGTTCAGAAAGCATATCATTCGTTCTATGACGGTGTAACGTGTATTTAGAACGTTCTAAACGACTTGCTAAAGCGATGCATGTTACAGCCGTGTACTTAGGACGTACAATTCAACGTATAACGATGGTACTTTCCGAAACATTTCGAGCATATCCTATACAGTACGTTCTGTAGGACATGCTAAGGTGGGCGTTATACCACCGTTACTTTAAAACTTACATTTCAACGTACAATACTGGTACTTTTCGAGACATGATTCAGAACGTTCTAGCAGAACGTTACAGGATAAGTTTTTAGAAATAATTCTAAAACTTAAAATAAACATAAAACTGTCTAGAAATTAACATATAACTTCATAAAACTTTCTAGAAATGTTAAACAAAAGTTATAGTAGCTCCATATTTTGACTTTCTGTTGTCCATTATTCAACTGTAACCTTATAAGGTATTCTCGAGCCTTCTTAGCAGCCTTCGTGATACAGCGGTCAGCATATTCGGCGCGTATTCGAGAGATCCGTGGTTCGAGTCCAACGAGGGCATTACTCATTTTTAATCTACTACTGCTTCTAAATAACTTAATGCCTTTACTGACGTGATTCAGAACGTTCAAGGTATGTTCAGAGAACACTATACAAAAGTATTAGTAAGTACCACTTTCTGACGTTCTACTGACCATTTTTGTTCTACTGTCCCTATTGACGTGATTCAGAACGTTCTGCCGGAAAGTTAAGGAAACATTCATAGAACGTTCTAAAGATGTTATTCAAACGTTTTAGTTTAGAGATTCTCAACATTTTTTTTTGCCCCTTACACACTTTTGACCACTGTTAGACGACTATTCTCCGCTCCTTGCCGAAATTCAAAACACATATATATTTATTTAAATATAGACTCATTTTAATATGTTCTATAGATTAAATAAGAGAAAAGCATGGAAAATATTGATAAATACCGAAACTTGAATAAAGATAAATTTTTATATTCATAAAATAAAACTAAATACTTAAAGATCAATAAAAGCTGATCGAGTTTCTCCCCCTGGAAATATGAAATCCCCCCCTCCCGGTTGAGAATTTCTGAGTTAGTAGTACCGAGTTTTAACCTTCTACTCTCCTTCACTGAACTATAACCTATTGACATGATTCAGAACAATAAAGGAACATTCGTAGGACATTCTAAGAATGATATTGTAAAGTGTTAGTAGTACCGCGTTTTGATTTACTGTTATTGAACTATGATCCATTGACGTGATTCAGAATGTTCTGCCAGAACGTTGAATGAAAATTCGTAGAACGTTCTAAGAAAGTTTTATCAAAGTGTTAGTAGTACCACTTTTTTAGATTCTACTGTCCGTTATTGAACCGTAACCTATTAACATGATTCAGAACGTTAATGAACATTCGTAGAATATTCTGGGAAAAACGTTATGCAAAATTGTTAGTAGTGCCACTGTTTAACTTCCATTAACCAATTTCAGTATATAGACGTGGCTTAGAACGTTTTCCCAAACGTTCCAGGAACCTTCTATCAGAACATGCAAAAAAACACTCCATCTGAACTTTCACGGGACGTTACACAGAGGTGTTACAGACACAAGTATTTGAAGTGTTATTGTTTATTTTAGAACTGTATAAAGATGTAATTTAAGACGTTTTGGTCGAACGTTTCTGGCACGTACGAGACGTGAAACAGTAGTATGGAACGTTCTTAGAACGATTTTGTGCTAGTTGGGCTAGTGGATATCCTTAGATTTTCAGAATCCGTCAAACTGTAGCAACCATGCGAGTAATAATTCTTCGGTTTTTAACTAGCAGCATCGTCATTTTCATATGCTTTCTTTTTGTTGTATTCGAACATTTTTGATAGAAAAATAGTCATACGTTTTGTCTTAAACTCAATTTTAAAATGTGCGCTTGTGGATTTGTCTGACGTGGAAAAAATCTGAGAGGTAATTTCTGCAAGAATGCATTATTTTTAGTAATTATTTACTATCGCAACCACCTTAGTAAGAGTGTCCAAATTGTTAGAATGTGCCAAACTCTGGCGATCGTCCGAGTAGTAGTTCTTTGCTTATAGCAAGCAACCTCGCCAGTTTCATATGCGTTCTTTTTGTTTTATTCGAACATATTTGATAAAAAAATAGTCAAATGTTTTGTCTTAAACTCAATTTTAAAAAGTGCGCTTTGCGCTTGTGGGTTTGCATGACAAAAAAAAAAAAAAAAAAAAAAAAAAAAAAACCACCTGAGAGGTAATTTTTGTGAGAAGCTCCAAAGGCTTTTATAAACAAACCCTGATATTTTTACCTAACTCAATTTTCAAATACCGTTTGCGAAATAAGCCAACAATAGAAACAACTGCGGTAAAATTTCTGCAGAAATGCAGCATTTTCCCCCAAAATCGCTTAACAGAACAATGATGAGATGCGTTCGGTAGATAGCTGGTGCTAATTTGTGCAATTGTCTGATGTTTTTAAACCAAAACAGATCGCTGTGTACATAGAAGTACAACGCTTAAAAGCTAGAGAATGATTTCGCGATAAATGTGTTTAATTTTTTTAATATATCATACAATCATTAGTTAATTAAAAGGTATTTAAGTATTATCTCGTCGAGCGTTGGAGGAAATTCTGGCAACGGTCGCCTCTCGCCAATCATTATTGCGGAATTCTGAAGACAGGGGCATCCATAATTGGCACTGTTTGTATTTTAAAATTTTGGAAGCATTATTCTTTGGCTATGCTCATAAATGATAACTTGAAATATTTTTGAAAAAAACTCACGAAAGTCTGCAACTTGCAGCAGATAGAGATTTTTTACCTTTTCATCAAAAAAAAAAAAAAAAAAAAAAAAAAAGACCAAATTGCACCAAGGTGGTTACGTAGGTACCTAAATTTAGGGGGAAAATCGTTAAAGGAAACTATAGCTTTTATTCTATTCTTAAAGCAATTGCCATGAAACTTCTATCAGGGGACGCACGTAGATCAGTGCATTGACAGTCATTTTGGGAATATGCATAATAATAATATATAATAATAAGTATATATTTCATATATATATTCTTTTTGCAATTATAAATCATCGTTCTTTTCTCCTGCAAGAAATTGCCAGTTGCTCCAAAATCATTACGCTAATACGTAAGTACCACAAAATTACGATAAGAAAAACAAAATTTGATCAATACAAATTGAATTTTAATTAATCAGATTGAATTTTAACTGATAAACTTCAAAAGCCTTTCCATTAAATGAAGAAAATTAGTCTTGAAATATCTTTTAAATAATTCAGATATAAATCTTATGGTACGAGTTATTACAGGAAAATATTTGTTATTTGTTTAAAACAGATTGTGTCAGAATTAGCAAACTAAGCATTATCTCATAGCTAAATCACGTTATAAAATTTTATTCTGCCATTATTATTTAAATTACAAAATTTAGCTAAAAAATTAAAATATATAACTGCTAATACGAATAATGCTAAAATTAAGTGCTTACCAAATTTAGAGAAAGTTGAATAAAGGTTTAATATTGTTCTTTCCCTTTAATGGTAAAAATATCTCTTACCTTTGGTGCGACAAATTAAGCAACTCCTTTTCCGATTGAGTGCACACCACGCAGATTTAAACTATAAAATTAGGAGCATAAACAGTCATAGTTACAGTGTAAAATAAATTGTTATTAATTTATTTTCTTCTAGCTAATGATAGACTTATAACAAATATAAACAGTACGCCTTTATGGATCTTCAGTTGATACAATATGCAATGCAAATAAATTCTTACTATAAAATAAAAAGATTACCATATCAACATCAAATATAATTTTTATTCACCAGCTCAGTAGTCAAAAATCTCATCTTCTATATTTTAATAAATAAATCGAATTCTAAAGATAAAAACTGTTGCCAAAACGATAATACAATAATATGCAAAGTAAACATTTATAATTATTAAAGTATTATGAGTATTAAAGTATTATGAGTATTAAAGTATTATGAGCATTAAAATATTGTGAGTTACTTTCAAACTAATTATTTATATTTTATGCCGTTACAGACTAAATTCAAAAATCTGCACGTTTTTAGCCTGTTCAAGAATTAACAAGCATTGTTAGAAAATGCTATTTCTAAGTATTTAAGTATACGACACTGGCAACAAGAACGATAGCAGTAGATAGAAAAGTTTTGCTTTAGTTGCTTGCTTTTATAAGGCAGTTGCTTTCACGGGCGGGCGGATGGGGGTACCGAGAATTTAAGAAATTTCCCGAGACGCTGGTGGTCACAAGCGCTATCACCTGATATAGGTAGCTTGAAAATGATTACAACATTAACCATAACTAAAGAATCCGTAGAAAAATTAATAAATAAACAAACAAATAAAAAAATTCTGAAAGGTTTCAGATTTTAAATTACGTCTAAAGGGGCGTTTTTTTTTTTTTTTTTTTTTTTTTTTTTTTTTTTAAAACATTTTGTGTGTTACCTTTATTTTATTAAATATCATGTTCTGCGCACATAAACCATAAAATTCAGTTCAAGAGCAATACCGCAAAATAATTTTAAAATGAGCATATCTTCAGAATTTCCGATACACAATCTCGAGCGCTAGATATAAAAATGTTTTTTCTGTACAACGTTGCCATTGCTCGCTTTGAAATCCTTAAGTTTCTTAATCAAAAATTCGTTAAAGGTTTACAAAATATGAAATCGATAAGAAAACAAATGCCGAATTTCAAATTTGGGGTTCCAAATGCCCATATTCTCAGGATTATTACGTTATTCAAAATTGGATGGCTCTAAGTCCCGTTGTTTTATCACAGTGCGGAAATATGCATACATTTATGCAGATTCTTCATTATTTAATTTCTTTAAATGTAATCTAGGGCGATAATATTTGGGGCAACATTTTGAAAAGTGAAACAACGCTTGAGTGAATCAACGCAAAATGGCAAAACGAAATGAATAGTCCTTCTGGGCAAATTGCCCTTTTAGACTAATAAGTAAATTAAAAATTAAAAAAATAATTGAAAGGTTTCAGATTTTAACGATCGCCTAAAAAGGGTTTGTTAAGGTTTTTATGCTCTTGTTGAGCTCGCAGTCTACCAGTCTGGCTGTTGCACTCACCTTTACTAACCCATTTCTTTTTGTGATTTGGCTTTATTATTAAGCATAATCTTTGTATTTACTCCATATATAGTTTATGGAGAAACTGTACTTTTAAAAATTTTAAATATAATTTTTAAAATTCAACAGCATAATTACATGACTTTTAAGAGCAGCATAGGAGCATTTGATTTCCGACGCAGTGTTAAAGTGTTGGCATACATTTTCCTATTTATTTTTTAGTCTTCTCTCAGTTCGCAGCAATGCTCAATTTTCTTAGTAAGATGGCTTGCAGAACTTTTTTTGTGTTTTTGTTATCAATATTTTGTGAGTTAAATGCATTAATTTAATATATTCTTCAATCCAAAATTCAATTCAAAGGCAAAATCGCAAAATATTTAAAAACTGCATATCTTAAGAATTTCCGATAAACATTGTCGCGCGCTGGAGATAGAAATGTCTTATTTCCCTCAGGGTTGCCATTGCTCGGTTTCATGTCGTTGAATTTGTTAATCAGCAGTTCATTAAAATTTTACGAAGCGTGAAATATAAAATTCGATATTCATTCAAAATTTGGGTTTCCAAGTGCCCTATAATCTGATGTTATGCGTGAAGTGTGTGTGTGGTGTGTCTTGAGTAAGTTTATAACATGTTTGAAAATGACATTTTTAAAATTTAAATCACCTCAATCACAGTTTAACTGAAATAGGATTGAGCTGTAGAAAATGCAGTTAAATATTGTAGAAAATACAATATTCAGTTGTATTTTCACTAAATTTAATTTTTACTTCTCAAACTTATAATTCTTTCCTTTTCTCTCGGGTTAAATTGCTGAGGGGCTGGAACTCCTCCATGTGGACAACACGTGACCCTTTCCTATGGCTTATTAAATTATACACATTTTTTCTACACTTCACTTAATTCACTTCCGTGAATTATTCTAATTTAACCGATCAGAAATTGCAAATTTGTAAATTAAATATTCCGAACAATTTTTGCCGCATGGGAGTCAACCTTTTTACAATTTTATTTTTTTGGTAACGAGAATAAAATATTCCCAAATATAAGTATAGGACCCGGAAGACCACATTAAAAGTTGAATTTCATATTTTTGTCAAAAATTAATTTTCTTTAAAAATGGACATTGCAAAAATATGAATATTTTCGTTATTTAAAACGTTTCTTTGATTGGAAGGATATAACGAACGCGAAAATAAAAGCTGGGTATTGACTTTTAAGCCAGGTAAGAGGGTGGGTGTATAAATATAAGTTGAAATACATATAAATAAGTTGGTTCTGCTGACTTCAATAAGAAAGGGAGGTGCCCAACTAGATGTTAGAGCAGACTCATATACAAAATTCAACGTCCTACGGCTAATCGTTTTTGAGTTATGCGAGATACTTACGTACGTACAAACATTTTTGTGCGTTTACGTACGTCCATTCGTTTCTTTTAAGTACATTTCTTCAGACGTCACAAAAATCCTCTTTGAGTCCATTTTACAATCCGATTTGGAAAGAGTCCTTCTTTCTATTCGTATGTAGAGATTTCAAGCAAAAAAAAAAAAAAAAAAAAAAAAAAAAAAAAAAAAAAAAAAAACGTTTAAATGGTTTCGAGTATGGCCAGAAATATTTCCGTTGAAATATGAGCCCCGAAGTTTTTCGCGATTAAAATACTTCCTTTACTTCGCACAAGGAAATAATAATGGTAATAACGCAAAGAAAAAATCAAATTTTTATTTATTTTCTATCTGAAAATTAAATGCTGGTACCTGCAAGAAATTTCATATACCTATATGTTTTGCAATTCAAAGGTATTGACAGCTAAATGCTGAACTTTGAGACTGACATTTATTTCAAATATTTCTAATACATTGAATTAACCACTAAATAACTTACTTAAGCTAAAAATTAAAAAAAAAATTGCAAAAACTTTTCAAATTTTCAGAGAAAACTTTGTGGGACAAAACTTGCGAATGAATAACGACAGTCATCTTTCTTTTTAGTTATCAATTTATTATAATTTATTATTTATTTATTAAATTTTTCGTCTATAGCTGCAGCAAAAATACGTATATTTGTATGTAAACAATCGTAAACTTCTTTATTCCTTATTATAGCTTAACACCTGATGGCATTTCGATTCTGATGAAGTTTGTAGCCTTGGAGAAGAAATTCTAGAATATTTTCTGTATCTTCAAATCCTTAAATAAGATTTGAATCGAACTGCTAAGTTAATTGTAGACTTTTTAGTAAGTTATTTACATTCATTTTAATGGTAACGAAAGTGATATAAAATTAGATTAAAAATTATTAAAACCAATACTTGTTTCTTTAAATTCTTGTTATAATAATGCTATTTTTCTAGCATATTTTTGAGACTTTTTGTTTGAATTTTAAGTGTGGGAAATGCATGAAATATTTTTGTGCTTCTTGTGACTGCAATTTAACTTTAAATGTTTTAATACAAGCATGCATGTCGTTGATAAAATTATTTTTGTCTTGTAGCTCATTATTGAGAATATTATTATGAATTTTGTATATACGTAAATAATTTTGGGGAAATTATATACGAAACTGTACTATCTTTTGTATAATGTAACATAAAAGGTTTGAAGAGACGATGCTCCGCCGGAAAATAAGATAACAGGGGCAAGTTTATTTAATATTGAGGTCAATGGCTATCTCGATAAACTGGCGAGATATCTCCAAGTTGACGATGTTTTTGGCGACTGATATTTATCTTCACATTTGGCGAAAAATCGCCCCCAAATCGCCAAACTTGGCGATCATTTGGCGGCATTTGGGACCGATCCCTGTTATAATTGCAATTGATACTGCAATTAAATAAGTGTAATTGATCTTTATATGCATTTGTAACGGTTACAGTCGAAAACATCGCGGCAAAAACATCGCGGACGAAAACGTCGCGGAGAAAACAACGCAAGGCGAAAACGTCGTGCTACAAAACATCGTGGGAGAAAACATCGCAAAGAGAAAACATCGCAGTCCTAAAACATCGTGGTACAAAACATCGTCGTCGAAAATAAAGCGGTTCAAAAACTTCGCAGTTTAAAAACTTCGTCATCAAAAATATCGTGGTAAAAAATAAAGTATCTACAAATCATCGCATGACGATAACATCGCAAACATGCTTTTTTAAGGCTTTAATAACTGTAAATGGATATTCCTATAATGATTTGTGACCGCAAGATGGAAAGAAGGATAATTTTTACTTTCATTTTTTTTTATTCACTAATAAATTTTTGCTGAGAAAATAAGAAGGAAACTTAAGCATAGAAAATTAATGCAACTTATAGGACTCAATAGAATTTTAAACTGACATAGTTAACTAACAAAGGCCAAATAAATCATTTTTATAAAGTTTTACTGGTAATTTTTCATGAAAAGTATAATCTATAAGTTGCCTTCAATTAATTAATGCAATAATTTAATTTTTTCAGCAAAAATTTATTAGTCAGTAAAAAACTGTGAAAGTAAAAATTATCCTTCTTTACATCTTCCGCTCACAAACCTTATGAGAACCATATTTCCATTTACAGTTATTAAAGCCTTAAAAAAGCATGTTTGCGATGTTATC